ACACCAAACCATTTGGGACAACTGGTCTTTCCTGAAGTACTAATCCTTGTCGCTGTTCTGTTGTGACAGGGGAGTGTGATTAACGTACTTCTTTTTACATTTGCAAGTCACCTCTAAGTGTGTGGGGTAGAAATGCAGAGGTGCACCCTTCTGTCTCCTCACAAATGCTGCTTGTTGTCTGGTCTGCTGCTTTGAGGACTGCAGGGAAGTTGGCAGAAGCCTGCCTGTTCCTTCTGAACAGCAGTTCTTGTAATAATGGTGAGAGGACTGAGTGGGAGGAGAAGTTTATTTACCAACATTTATCACTTATCCAGAAAATGAACAATTTCTAGTGCTCATACCACATTGTCTTAAGTGCAGTCCCTCTTACCTCGGTGGTTTGATGGCTGTCTCACTCCACTGGGCAGGGTGAGCTCGCAATTGAACAGTTTGCTTGTCCAATAACACCTAAGGATGGAAGCTTTTTAAAGTGGGAGCTCATGTCAACCTGCGTGGGGGTCAGCTTGAGGTAATTGAGTCTTAGTGTGTGAGCCTCTTTCTGTTTGCTTTAAATAGTCAGTAACCATCAACACAAATAAGAGCCACTTCCACTCTCGTAGTTCAAAGCGTATTCAGAGAGTTTATGGCTGCTAATGAAAAACATTTCAGAGAAAGCAGAACCCAGGCTTCCAAGATTTGCACTTTTTGCGTTATGAGATGCTCAAGTTTGTGTATGGTAAACAAGATTTAGAAATTCCTCTATGTTGTTGTACTTTGGACCCCAACAAACTTCAGAAGAAAATGTCTAACTGTGCTTGGATTTATTTTATAAACTGGGATGGCTTCAGTAGTCTGTGTGGCCTTCCATTCAGCTGTTTGCTTAAGCCAAGCCGAAAGCCTCTTATCTAAAAATTATTTATTCTCACTCTTGAGCTGACAGAACTAGACTGGAAAGGGCAAAAGCTGAATTGTAGTCCAAGCCTCGGACTTCAGTTAAATCATAAGGGCAGCATGAAGGACTGGCCACAACATTGCTCTGCAAGGTACTGGTGGTTCTCTTGTATGCTACTTGTCAGACACCTTTTTAAAATAAACAGCCTCAGATTTGTGCTTTGCAGCTGTTCCTTTCTATCTACCTGGCATGCCAAAGTAAATCCCTGCAGCTCAACATCTTCAAAATCAAAACCTTAATTCAAATATCATAATCTGGATAAGCTTCTCACTTTCTGTTTTCGGCAGTGTAAGTAAAATTAGGCAATTTTGTTTCTTTATCCTATTCAGAAAAATATATGTTGTTTATATACTTTGAACATAGACATATTGTATAATAAAAGGTAACAGTTGAATAGTCCTAGCTAAAGATGTGAAAGTATGACTGGAGCCAGTGCATCTGGTTGCCAAAATTTAATCTGAAGAGAAAGAAAGTTTTAGCAATATTTTAAGTTGGCTTGACTTGTTAAATTAAAATAACCAAAAGACTTTTGCTTTTGAGAACTCTTATTCTCTTTGGATACTTTGAGGATCTGATGTTCTCATTGACATCTTTTCACTCTGTTAGACTTCACTTAATGCAGTGCATCGTTCTGGTAGCCAAGGTAAATGAGGCTGAAAGTTTAGTTTGAGCCATCCAAGAGCTGTGCTGTCCTGACAGGGAATGTGGGTGATGTGGTGGGCCAGAATAGCATTGCCAAGACCCTCGTGCTGCTGTGGTGTGTGGCTCATGTGGGCACTTGCTGTGCAGGGCTGTTTCCCAGCATGAATGGCCTCCTTCTACACCAGTGTGATTGAATGCAGTAGTAAAAATAGGGAGAGGCCCAAATGACTATGAGGTGGGACTACTTCTTGTATTCTGCTTCTTCAGCGAGGATTACTTTGAATGAGCTTATACCAAAAGGGTTAAAGAATCATTGTGTATTTTGAATTTGGGTTGTCAAAGCAAATATTTTGACAGTCAGTCAGAAGTGGATGCCGAGTGGCATGCTGTGAAGAACATAGGGTTCTGTCATGGAAAAAACTTGTTGAGGGATGGGAAACTGAGAGGAAGAATAAACAGCTAGTTTTCAGCCTTGCAAGGGCCTGGTTTGAGTTTCTGTTGAATGAAAATGGAGAAAAAAAAAAAGCAGCGTTGTGAGCAGAGTGAAGCTTTATGAAGCACAGTTATTTAGCACAGCCAGTAGCTGGAAAGGCTTCCATGTATAGCACAAATGTATTGTTGGAGCCACACGAGAGATGGTTAGGTTCATTGGAAAAGCCATTGAAGGGAGGAGGTTGTTGGGAGGAAAAGGGGGAAGAGGTTGTTGGGAGGAAAAGGTTAACTACCTAAATGCATCTGAGCTGGAACTTGTCTTCAGTACTTCATCTGCAATTTTTCCTTACTAAGTCTCAGAAAGAAATGCCTCTGCCCCTCCTCTGTGCTCGCCATCCTACTTTAAATGTTTTTGTCTGTCTGACAAAAAGGACTTGCAGGTGCTCTCCTTTGAGCATGTTACTAGTGCACAGAAAAGCTTATGCAGAAGTTCTCTCAAGGATGAGGATACATTGGTATTTCATTGACTCTTGGTATGTTTCGCACCAGAATAAAGAGCTCATTGCCTAGGAAAAGCCAAATCACAGTATTTTCAATTGAATTGTAGTTCTCAATGACATCTACTACCTCACTTTTAGATGCTGCAAAGTTTCCTTTAGTTGCACAACAGCAAAGTGAACTCCTGAGATTTGACATGACCTCATGTCAGCTTTAGACAGGCTGTTTTGTTCATGCAGTGACTTTTCTGGAAATACAGTCATAAAATTTTGCTGCATTTTATTGCGCTTACATTTCAGTTGGGAAAGAACCCCATGACTCGGTCTTTTCTTCTAGTATATCATCCATGTTTTCTATCAGTGATATATTTTTATGGCTGCCAGTGTTCATCTAGAATATCCACCTACCTAAGTAAACATGAACTTTGTTTTCACCTGCGTTCAGTAAATGGTGTTTTATATCAAACGGTACAGAATCAACAGTAACAGCCATTATGGGTGTTCAGCTCTTATGTTCCTTCCACCTCACTGAAAATCCTGGAATTACAAAGATGAAGAGTTCATATAGGTGCAGTTCTTGCAGAGAAATACAGATTTTATAGCTTTTTGGAGCATATATTTAAAAAATTAAGGCATTTTCAATTAAATTCTCTTTAGTAATGCAGATGACATCAGAAGAATATCGGTCTGTAGTGGACATTTTCTACATTCCAATCATTATTTTAAGTGGAATTACTGAGCAAATTAACTTTCTTTGGCAGGCTGACACTTCAGCTCTCTGTTATTACAAAGCGTGTATTCAAGTCATTCATATGTCAGGTTGCTTGAAAACTTAATGCTCTCCCCCAAAAAAATGAAAAATTAGCAGAACTGCTCACTATGTCTAAAGACCTTTTTTAAAGGCAATGCCATAACACTGAACTACAGGAGACAAATTCTGTTGTTGGCACATCAGCTTTAAGCCTCTTTTACCAAAGGAATCTGCAGATCTAGACAATTCACTGCGACTAGTACAGGGGGAGTAGAAATTGCTGGATGAAATCCTGCAGATGATTCACTATGTCTAATATAGGAGGGAGTAGAAATTTCTGGATGAAATTCTGAATGTGTGAAGCTGTGTGTATATGTTTCATTTTGCATTCAGCGGGACTAATATTCAACCACCCGACTCAGAACTTCTAAGAAATTAAATACCAACCCCATGACAAACCTAAAAAAATGTTGGGGGTGCCTGTTTTTCTGGCATCTGGTGACTCCAGCAGCAGAGCAGTGAGGTCCAGATCTGGTTCTTTACTCTTGCCTCCAGTTCAATGTCAGTATTTGGGGTTTGGTGAAGAAAACTTCAAAGTGCTACATTCTCATCATGGAGAGGGTAACATGAGGGCATTTCCTGCTCCCACCCTTGCTTTCAGGCAACACTGTTTCAGTTCAAGAGCAGAGGCGTGTGGGATGACCTGTTTGTTATTTTGAGACCGATATTTGGATAGGAGTTGGAAGTATAGTGATCTCTGCCTCTTGTACTAAGATAAGTGTAACTCTGGGAATGTCATCAGCCACTGTTGAAAGGCAGTATAATGGCTTGGGGAAAGCCCTGGGGAACATTTTGCTGCAGTCACAGCATACACAGGGCTGTGGAGGAGGGGAATTGAGGGGAGTGGGGAAGCTCAAGTCTGACTAGCAACCCCTCTGACTGGGGCTTTTGGCTCCTTGGCAGTGACTGGGGCTCTTTTCCATAGATTCCTGTTTACAATGGCATAAGTCACCAGAGGCTGCCAGGGCTGGGAGCAGTTCAAGATGAGGTGTATGACATATCTGCAGGCAGATTGTTTTCCTGAAACAACCTTGATCCCAGACCCAGGGAGGCACCACTCCTTGCAAAATCCAGGCTTCAAAGGGGTCACCACATCACAGGGTGAGCTGTCTGCAACTGTAACCTTGTTCACCTCTTCTTGAGGCGGGGTTGGCTCAGCTGCAGTCAGCAGAAACCCAGAAGGTTGGAACAAGGTTCCTTCATTGCCCCTTGCACCTGGGTGCCCATGGCATGTGGAGCCGTGCTCAGCCTCTGTCCCGAAGTCAGGCTGTGCTACCTCCCCAAAGTGAAGGCAGGAGCTGCACATCTGTGAAACTGCTTAAACATGTCCAAACATTTTGCTGGGTGACTGCCAGCACCCTTGGTAGTTTGGACAAGAAGAAGATGATGGGGGTGTGGTGGTAGGAGTGGGTGGGACCACTGGGTGTTACTGAGACCTTTGCTTGCAAAGTGTTTGACAAACACCCACCATGGGATAGGGCACAGCAGATATTGTAAATATTGGCAGCAGTGGGAGGGAGATTAATTACTCCCCTGCAACAAATCAGGGAGGTTTCCAGCAGACTCTTTCTGACCAGCCCTTGTTAGAGCTTTGTATTTTGATGTGAATCTGTGCCAGATCTTGGTTTGTTGTGGGGGTGGAAATGACTTATTTCTCGCTGCTGATGTGTTTTCTCTTTTCTTGTAGGTGTATGATGTCAATCAGTGGGCAGTCCTTGTAGCCTCCCCCACCAGCCTGCAGTGTCATGTGCCAGTATGAATGTTAAGAAAGAAACGCATTCTTCAGAGCTCAGCATCCCAGAAAGAAAAAAGGAGGAACTAAACAGAGGGAGCAAATGATTGCACTGCTTGCAAGACTTGAGGCTGTTCACCTCTTCTCCTGAGAAGCTTCATCTTGGCCTTCGTGAGAGAGTTGAGAAAGTAGGCAGAGCAGCCACAGTGATTGTCTTAGGGTCCTTTTCCTTTTTCAATTTCACATTTTCTGGATTTTACGTGTGCTGCACTGATCACAAGCACTGGACATCAATATGTGTCATGTCATTGTAACGTGTCGGTCGATGCTATGGACTCTCCTGAGTATCGTGGTGGCTTTTGCAGAGCTCATTGCCTTCATGAGTGCAGACTGGCTGATTGGCAGAGCAAAGCCTTCAGGCTCTGAGGAGGTGGACAACAGAACGGGGGGACAGCAGGAGCCCTACCGTCCCACGCTGGGCATCTACGGGCGCTGCACCAGGATCTCCCACATGCAGTTCTCTAGACGAGACACACTTTGTGGTCCTTATGCTGAAAACTTCAGTGAGATTGCCAGTGGGTTCTGGCAGGCAACCGCTATTTTCCTAGCCATGGGAATCATGATTCTCTGCACCGTGGCATTTGTATCTGTCTTTACTATGTGTGTGCAGAGTATTATGAAGAAAAGCATTTTTAATGTCTGTGGGCTGCTACAAGGGATTGCAGGTACGTGCACTTTGATAGCAACTAAACTTTTAATTTTGGGGTGATTCAGATGAAGAAACATAGCAATTCTGGCCTGCCTGCAGACAGACTGCATTAGGCAGACCCAAAGTGATTCTATATGCTGGTGTTTATTCAAACATAACTGAAATTTATAGCTACACAGCATGTAATACATTGACATTGGCAGCAGAATTGCAGCCTAATGTGTGCCAAAATGAACTGACCAGTATTGCTTTTGTTTGCTGTTCATTTTTTTCCCCTCTGTTTGAATTTCTTTCAGTTACAAAAACTTTTGTTTTTGTCCTTTGCTACCAGCAGAGAACAAAGTTAATACTCATATTAAGGCAGTCTATCTCCCTCTCGCTACTTTAGTAATTTTCCCATGGACCAAAGGCAGTTTCCTTAGTGTCTCAAAGGCTTCATGACTGTGGTGAGAGTAAAAACCACCCTCGGGCTAGGAACTGGTTATAGTCTCACACCCAGTTCCTCCAGCATTTCATGTGAAGCTGCCTCCTTCAAAGCTGTGAGCTTGACAAGTGATACCTTGAGATAAACCTTTCCTTTCACCAGCTTATTGTTCAGCTGCAGTTACACAGCCCAGTGAGCTTGTCTTTTCACTGTTCAAGGATCAGCTGTGCTTTGCCTGAAAACATGAATTTGTTCTAGAGATTTGGTGTTTCTGCTTAAACCCATAGATTTTACAGAGATTAAGTGACTGTTAGTAAACCAACCCTGGACAGCCTTAGTTAGAGAAGTATTCATTTTTCTGTAGTTGCCACTGAGCCACGGGGAAAACGGTTTTCATCTTTTGTGCTCTCTGTGTGTGTGGTCATCTGGAGGAGGAGAGTGGTCTTCTGCCCTGCCTCTGGCAGCCCTCAGAGACTTGTGAGGAGGGAGGGAATGAGCAGGCCCCCCTCCTCTTTTTATCTCAGTGGGACTTTTAAGCAGATGTTTTCAATTCACAAAATTATTTAATCACAACAAAAAAATAGGTTTTAACTTGTTTTGCTTGAAATGTGAATCCAGCTTTCCCTCTTCTCACCTCCACTGAGGTGGCCAAACATGTCTGTGATGGCTATACGTAAACAGGAGATGTAATGATAGATATTCAGACCTTTATCTGAATTTGGATGGTTTCATTTGCTTAGTTGAGACCTACCATAATCTTATTCTAAATACACATGGGGAAGTAGGTGAAGACTGACTTTACTTCCTGCTGCAACTCTCCAAAGCCAGTGTTACAAGCCAGAGACTGGCTGATGCTGCCTCCTGGACCACTACCACAGTGGCTCTCACTGTTGGCTACTTCATTCATCTTCACTGTGGAAGCATAACACTTACTTCATGTCGCCCACAATGTAAGGTTTGTGCTTCTGGAGCAGAATTATATCCCTAGACTGGCTAAAGATGCTTCTATTCATATGATGGCATACAATTAGCGTATCAGGTCCTTTAGATGAATATGACAGGTTTTGCTGTAGTGAGTCCTGGTGTACAGAGTTTGCCAGAAGCAGTGTGACAAGGAGGCAGCTTGGCAGTGCAGATTAAACCAGGGGAAGTTGTTAGTTTCTTGCTTTCTTTCTCTGTACTTCAGAAATAATGCATGACTGTTTTTCCAGGAGATGCAATTGTTACTTGTTTTCTTTTGGAGGGGCGTTTTTATGGGAGAGATTGCTTAGCAGCATAAATAGATCTTTGGCATGTCAGATTTGGGTCTTTTGAAAAGATAACTTTACTTAAAACTCTGATACCATCTCAAAATACCTAGTCTATCACCTAGGATTTGCAGGTAGAAGGTTCTTATATTTTGGAATAGTGTTCTGATGACCATGTGTTTGTGAGAAAATGCATGCTGAGACAGTTTTATGTTTTATTATCAATCCATCTGTACCCATAATGGGATTTGCAGCCTAAAACATTGAACAGTACAGTTGACAAAGCATTTAATTATGTGTTAAGGCATAGATCAGTCCTTCTTGAGCTGTACCGAGCATAGAAGCACTTCTCTTCCTGCAATTCAGATAAATGACACAGCATGAAACTGGGTAAGAGAAAGGTCACCTTAGTGAAACGTTGCTGCCAGTATTCACAGCCAGGCATCTTGTGGCTCACAGTTAGTTTCCTCAAGATTAATTTTATTGGGTCCATTGCTACTTTTGTGCCAGTAGTATTACAGCATCTGCTTATTTAGTTGCAATTATTTTCCTTTGACTAATGACGACTGCTAATTTAAACTTCGCCAGTTCCTGAGTTTTGAAAAATGCTTAAGCAAGTTGCTTAAAAGGGACAGTTGTCAGCATGGCTAATTCATACAGGGATTATGATAGATAAACTAATGCCCTGACCAGACAACTAGTTATAACCCTGCCTTAATAATTTTAAGTACAGCATCATTCTTTCTAATGTGAACAATGATGTTTTTAGTAAGTATACAAGAATAATTCACAAAACAATTTTGCTAATCAGCCTGTATCAGTACAATATCTGCAAGTATGCCAAACATCTCCTTTTTAAACATGAGATGCATACATGGTAGAGTCATCTACAGGAACTCAGGATCTTGCAGACTTAATCTCATTTAAAATCTCTATATCTTTGCAATAGAGATTTAATGTAATTGAAAACATACAACAACCTAATTTATTCCTGGAATTCATTATGACAAAACAATAACAGACACCAGATATATCTTTCCAGTCTAGCAAGATCTGTTGTGGATGATACCTACAGTGAAATTACAGAACAGAAAGCAACATCTCTTCTGTTATGGCCCTTGGACAAACATGCAAACTGTCATTTAGATCAATAGGAGAAAGCCATACAAGTATCTGGACCATAGGGATTCTTTTATTATTTTTGTGGCAGAAAATGAGAAATACAAGGCCATAAAGGAAGAAAATATGGCTGTTGCTTAAACTCCTGTAATTCCTTTGTTATGGAGCAAGAACTTCTACCACTTTACTTTCAGACTGCAATACCATTTATTCTGCAGCTGTAGAAACAGTAATCAATAGTCCTGGGTTTGGAGATGTTTGAAGATTGTTTCATCTGGGTAAGCATGTTTTCTCTGCATTAGAGTGCAGAGAATGGAGACATGTAATTGAATAGATAATTACTATCCAGAAGCAGGAAGACCAGGCAGACTTTCATTTGTATGTCTTTTTAGGGAAGGTATTCTGCTTTTAGTCTGTGAATCACTTGAAATGCAAAGGCTGGAGGAGAAAGGATATTATTACATGCTAACTGACAAGAATCCATTCAAAGTAAACTTTCACAGTAATCATGTAGCTATAGGAAGTAAATAATTGGTGATCCAGTACTGACATATCTTGGTATGTCTATAGTGTAGCTGCATATGTATTTACAAATCTTATTTGGGCTTGTGTACTTCACTTCGTTGCTAAGTAATATAATACAAACATAACTTAGCCTCAAAGGAGGGTGGGGAGAGCTTAAGACAGAGCCTAAACCAAGTTTGGCTTTCATCTCTGATAGTTTCCTTTATGAAGTTCATAATCAGCAACTTGGCTTCCTTTTTTGGCCTCTGGCATGGCTGAGCAGACACAACCCCTTCCCCACAGCCAGTGTCTGCCCGACTGGCAGCTGAGCCACAACGCACCAGCAGCGCCCTGACTGCACACCAGGGGGAGGGAGCTAAATTAGCTGCACTAATATTGCATCACAGAACTCGAGCAAGCCCCTGTGGTTTTTTGTGGGGAGCTCGACATCATGTGCCTGCAAAGTCTTTGGGAAGAACAGTGGGGAAATGGAGCTGACATGTCAGGAAGGCTAATGGGTTTGGGAGTTCAGGGTTTTTTTTACTTCTGTTTTACTGTGCTGGAGCAGGGCTGCCTTGCCAGGAACATTTACCAAAAGAGGATAAAATAGTTCCTCTTCTCTAAAATCTTTCCAAGACGCTTATGGCTTTATCTGGGAGGTCTCTCATGGGTCACCCCCTTTTCATCTCTTCTTCTGTTCACAGTCCACTGTCTCCTAGCTGTAATGGGGCGTGACAGAAGCATGTAGAAATTGGGTTGCATCTGTTAGAAGACCTGCTGTGTGCCAGGTGCGCACCACAGAGCCTCTCTGGTTTATTCAGGTGAATATATGGCTGCATTTTGCTGTCGTGTGGCTTAGCTGGCTGTGCCACTGGCATCTTTAGCAGGTAGGTGTCCAGTCAGCCAAAGCAGGGGTTTGTGTTTCCAAAGGCTGCTGCAGGCAGGCCAGAGAGCATTAAGTTCCCTTGGATGCTTAGCTGAGTCTGTCCGTTTGGGCCCAGATGCTGCAGCTTTGGGCCTCTCTCTGTCACCCCAGAAGTTTCTCCTCCAGCATTGCTGGGGAATGGCTCAGCTTCTTCTTTTCCAAGATCTGAGAGGTTTGTTTTTCCCCCTGACTGTTGCCCTGCAAATTCTCAGGCAATGATAGCTATTCCACAGTACTTTCTCTTCTCAGGTGTCTCAAGAGCTCTTTTGCATTCTTTGTTCTGACCTTTTTATGATTTCTCTCTATGACTTTCCATGTCTTCTTTTCCTTCTTGGTATCTTGGAGGGTTCCTGCATCAGGAGCTGCTGCAGGACCTTGGCAATAGTTCAGTTGCAGGAGTACAACTTTACCCTCAAATACAAAGAAACTTCTCTCCAGCTTTCTAAAATGAAGAGGTGAAATTCGGTTTCAAACCAGCTGTGTGTATAGCAATCTGTCTTCACTGCTGAAAGAGTTTGTTTTACATCTCTTGAGCTGAGAAATTGTTCAGCCTGTTATACTTACTTGGCATCGTTTTCATTTTGGGAGTCTGGGTGATTAGGAAGATGGCCTGAGCAGAGTGTGATAGGAACCATCTGAAGGGTATGAGGTTCTGGAGCTGGTTGTGGGAGTGGGTGAAGTAGGATCCAGCCACACAGGGTGGGCTCATGGTGTGTGCAGCCATGTGACTGCAGAATCCTGGCTGCTGGAAGTTAAGAAGGCCGGTGGGAGTTGCGAAGGAGGAAGCTGGGGAGGAA